CAGGAAAAACTCCTTCAACGAAATTCCATGACACTTTGTCAGTGTGCTTGCAACTGCGGAATTGCTCGAAGTTCAACGCAGATATCAGCAGTCCTCGTCGTCATGCGACTCTCCTGCCTGCTTGAAGCCGCATGCTCTCTTGTCCTGCCAAGCACCCGTCACGATCTTGCCACCCAGGCACCTCGCCACTGTGGGAGGCCTTTGAGTCTTTTTCTGCTACGAGGTCCATCCGGTTCCATTTGTGGTCGTCCTGTGAAGTAGAGAGAAGATCCAACTCATGCGAAGCAGAAGCGGGCCCAAAACAGCCCACAGCGCACCCGCTCGTACCGCCAGGCACTGCCGCCAGTCATTGCAGCAATTCCCCACTCTGTGATGCCGGCCTGGGTGTTTGTGGCTTGTTTCCATGCGTGACGCAGCATAGCTGCAGAATCCACGAGAACTGAACTCGGATCGTACTGAAGTGCATTTAGCTCGACTCGACCGCTAGCAGCTAGCAGTGCTGCCTCTATAGAAGCATAGCTGCCGCACAGTTTTGCAAAGGCCTGGCGGGCGAAATTTCCACCACAGGTTCAGGACGACGAGCACACGACTCCTTGCCTTCTCCAGCAGCATTGTCCAAATCTCCTTGCCGTGAGGCCGAGCATACATGGCCTCCGAGGGTGACATGCCCGAAGCGGCAAGGTCCAAGGACAGACGAGCCTTGGGCATGCCGTCGGCAAGCCTTGCAATGCCCCCGGGGTCTTGCTGACTAGCCGTGCAGGGCACGAAATCGTCTATGACGATGACCTCCAGGCCAGGCAGCGTGTGATAGCGTGCGCTCGTACATGCTCCCCAATCTCAACCTGTGTCTGCATCTGCGCTTAAAGCACTCAGCACAGGTCTGAATCCAATGATAAAAACTGCCGGAAAATCAACGGCCCTGCAAATGGGGGAGTCGCTTGGGCTAGGCCCCTCCGATGGACTGCTAGGATGATGCCTTCCACTCCTTGACTTGAGGGTCAAAGAGCTTGATGCTGTACTTTCCATCAGGCTGCACCTGAAAAAACTCGCGCGGGTACTAGCCCTGCTGCGCATCAACGGCAGTGCCAGGTGTCGCGCACAGGACTGATGGAAGAGTCCGTTCATGGCACCCTCGTGCTCGGCCAAAGTCGCCATGGCCTCAAACATGCAGCGACACTTTCACTCCCAGGCCCAAGCACGGAGCTATGCGGAGCTCAAAGCAAACCGGGACGGTGACTGCAGGGCATGTTGTCTTTGCAGGCTATCTTCAACCAAAACTTTAACCGTGGCCGCCACGCTACATGCTTGTACTAGTAGGCCCTTGTCGTGCTCTCTCTCTCCGTGCCATTGGCCCTGCGTCAAGCAATTCCCACATCCCGCATGCTTGCCGCTGCCCGAGCCTGTTCCGGGCCCAGGTTTCCGTTCTGCCGCTTGCTACAGCTGCTACATGTAGCTGTATGACTCTATGCGGATAATTTTAAGCAGCCCCCCTCGTCCGCATGTGCACCCTCAGTCGCCCTCCCTCCCGTCGTGCCAACGCAGTTGAAACACAAGTACCCATCCATACACTGCTGCTCGCCACCGTCTGCCTGGCCCACTCAGGCAGTGACGGCAAGCAGCCAGCAGTCACCCAAAGCACCCTGCAAGATGTCCTGCGCCTGCCCACTACAGAAATCTTGAGGCTGAGATGCAAAGTGTGGAAAGCACCTCGATCTTGCCCTCAAAGAGACGCATGTGCGAATCCTGACTCGAATGAAACAAGTGAATCGCAGAGACATCTCCAGAGCTTCGAGCTTGGGCCGTCGCTCCGAGGGTTGGATGAGTTGGCTCGGCTCCGTCATTCCTGCCGATGGACAACCGATCACGTTGCAGAATATTGCAGAGCCATTTGGAGGAGCTGCAAGGTGCAGAATATCGCGGAACCAGCATGTCGTTGAATTCTGATGAATTTCGACTCACGTCAGATGACAACGTCAATCCGCACTGGTGCAACATGGGGCCATGCATCGCTGTGCGAGTTGTCGTAGTTCGGCATGGGCAGTACCCTTCATCCGACACATGCGCAGACTAGTCTAGGGCCTAGGGCTGCACCAGGCGATTACGATGGAAGCTTTCCAGAGATTTCTGCGGGCTCAGAACGACATAATTGGCTTCAGATGCTTCTACAATCTCCTACGCATTCAAGAGCCTGTGGAGCTTTCCGGCTGGTTGCAACCTTTTGCATGGTCTCTACGAAGCTGGACTCACGCATCCTGGTGCGAAATCCTTGCCTTTCCCACTACATGACTATTGCGGTAATTCGGCTTGCACTTGTGGCGAAAGAAAATTAGTATTCCAGAGAAGAAGATATAGCTCTGCTCATCTCCTCTGCTAGTGGCATGGTCCTCGAGACGACGTCACCCAGGCCCAAGAAACGATTTCATGCCATAACAATGTGCATGGCCATGACAAGGCCCCCCTCAGAATGGACGACGCGACGGCATCTCCCACGCCCTGGCTCCTGGAGAAATGCATCGCACGCACCTTAGCAGAAAATGGATCCGACAGCACATGGAGCTCTGGGTCATGTCAGCTTCCAACCCAAATGGTACTGCCGCCCTGCTTCCCGCTGGACTCATTGGCTGTATCACCAGAAACCTGATGCAGCATCATGCAGCTTGCGGATCTAGTTGTAATTGGGAGTTCAATCAAACACTCCGTCAACCGTGGTCCCACCTTCCCAAGAGAAGTATTGTTTGGTGGAAAGTCCTGGCCATCTCCCGTAGCAACAAAGACTAGTGTAGTGAGAACTGACCTGCCTGATCCACGAAGAAAGAGGAGCAGCAGCCACCAAGCAACCAATAGGCTCGCCATGCGTAGATGTGAACACAGGGGGGTATGTAAATCCTGCATCATGCGCCCATTGCACTTGCAAGCAGCAACTAGATTTGCAGAACTGTGCTCTGGCGCTTGCCTCAGGGCGTGAAGCAGCAAAACAAAAGGACCAAACACGATTTTGTAGAAGAAGCAGGCCTGCAGGCAAGAGGGCAAGGAATTTCGACTCTACAGGAGCATGAGCAAGACCTTTCAGGCCGGAACCTGGCCGGTGTACAGGGCAGGCCAGCACCTGGTCATCTTTCACCTACTCTTGCAAGGTACTGTCGTTCTGCACAGCTGGTTTCCGTGAGACGCAGATGTCCGACACAGTTTGTTAGCTTCCCGAGCAATGGCATCCTGACATGTGAAGTGCACTGCGCAGTTGCAGAGGGCTCTCGGGTGAAGGCCAAAGCCAGCGGTCGGCCAATCTTCTTTCGGGACTGTCTGCCTCTGTGATGAGGCAGCTTTCAAGCTCTACAATCAACCAAACGCATGAGCCGGCACTGCACTTTGGAGCCTGGAGCTTGCAACGAAGCCAACCATAGATCAGGAAGTAGAGGCCAAGCAGTGCAAGTGGAATGACCTGTGAACACACAGCGGAATAGTGCGGTGCTGCATTTTACGACATTCGAGATGATGCCAGGATTGCGGCCAGATGCCAAAGCTGAGCTTGCGGATGCTGGGGAGGTGTTTGTCGAGGCGGCTGCGCACTGGGGGCAACAAGACCAAACGTGTTCCACCTTTGGAAAGTGGCTGTCACGTCGAGCGCATGTTCTCAAGCCAGACTTTGGACAACAGCTGACTGAGTTGCAGGCCCCGGCGGTGAGCTTGCGGGGCCCGCCTAATCGTGCTTCCGAAAGGCCTCTACCTCTGCTAGCGTGGATACACCACGAACAAGTTCTCGACCAATTGCCACTGAAAAGCTCCCTAACTGGGCTGCAGGTGTGGTATGTGTGGTGCTCTTCTATCAACATTGCAGCCATGATCCGGGGCATCGTTTTCGCCAAGCAGCTCAATTATTTTTGGCTTTTGGCACGGCCATGTTGTTGCTTGCGTTGCTCCGTCTTGGTGTGCCATTCTCAAGAACGAGTCTCCATAACAGAGGTGCACCGCACCTCCACCCCAACCCGGAAGTGAGTTGAGGTGACGCAATGCGCAATCGCGATGGCATCGGCTTGTAATCTGAGTATTCGCCACTCGGAGGAGGCTAATGAGAAAACACGTGTTGTTAGTGCCTATCCTGTTGCTCGCGAGTGAACGGCTTGGATCGGTTTGGAACACAGGGAGAATCCGTGGAGAGGAGGGCAGGCCAGCCCGAGTATTTCGTCGCTGCTCGTGCATTCCTTGCTCCACCGGCCCCATGCACTCACCAAGTCGCGAATAACCTTTGCAGTGAGCCTACAGGAAACGCTCCAAAAATGCGGTCTCTGCCTTGCCTTCGGGTCCATTTAATTTACATGGGAGGCTCGCGCTGCACACCTGGCGGCGTCATGGAAGCATTCGGCTTTCTCTGCCATGCAAAACCTTGCCTCAAAGAGCAAACGGCAAAAGACTGTAGGTGCCGTCGCTGCATGTTCCCAGAAGCTTTGAAACCTACGTGATATGAAGTGGGATTCTTAGTGGTAGCATCCGAGTATCCCCTAAACGGAACGCCAAGCATACTCTCGCCAACATTCCGAAGGAGCCCTAGATACTGTTATCAACAATACTACTGACATGTTCTCATTATGCCTATGCAGAACCAGCCGCTCACATCTGTCCCCTTTGATGGGACCGTGTAGTGCAAGCTTTCTGATCACGTTTTGTTGCGGCATGTGTCGGGCTACGCTAGTTGAGCACCAAGCTGCCCAGAATCGCAACGCATCTGAGCTTAGTATGCCGTTAGAGCTGCGCCTTGTGCCACTCAGAGTGGCGACCTGAAATGAGACAGAAACCTGCCGCTAGAGCAAACGATTGCTGGCCAGAGATGGCCTCTTGTTCTTATGACGGGGTCCTAGAACAGCAGTCTCTCTGGGACTCACCCACAGTCTGCCTGTTTCATCGAACTTGCCGATCAGATCAGTACAAAGGCTCGTTGCTTACAGTCTTTTTCGTTTCAAGCGGCGGCTTGACTCTGCACCTCGGGCAAAGGAAGCCGAACCGTTTTAGTCCAGCTTGCACCACCCAGGAGGCACAGCTACACGATATTTGCTACAGATGCTTTCCACGAGCTCAGGCTCTCTGCCTCTGTACTTCTGCATGAACTCTGGAACCTCAGTGCGAGGTCAGGACAAGGGTCCAGCACAAGCTCGACGATCAGTTTTTGTTTGATGTTTCCGCCAGGGCTTTGCATGGCTTTTGCAACTGCTCTCGGGGCTTTCGTGACTTCTCCGGCGGGCTTGTGTCTGAGGAGCTCGTATGCGAATATGCAAATGTCGACGATTCCGTCTAGCTCTCCTCGGCCTTGTTCACTGGAGACGCGTCCGGAACGAAAAAAGCGGGAGTGCGCGGCTTTTCGATCGGAAGGGCCCTATGATGTTAGGTTAGCACTTCAGAAATTGCAAGTGACGCAGGCTTTTCGACATGGCGGTGATGTATTACACAATCAATTGGCTTGTTTTGATGGGTTCCCGAGCAGCGTACGAGATCAAAACGACGCAGATAGGCTGAGATGGGTGGCTTGATCAGCTGCACTACACAACAGGGCGAACGTTCCCGGCTTCGTTTCCAGTCCCAGACAGCACCTTGGAATTCGCAAATTAAGCCAGGTAGCCTTCGGCAGCAAGCTTGGGTTGAAGCGTGAGTAGATGTTCGTCAGCCAGTGGTGAAATTCTTTGGTTGTGAGTGCTTGCGAATCCGCTGGTGCAGTTGGGAGGGAATGGTCGTGTTCCTGGAGAACAGCTGGGTGCAACCTGCCAGTTCGGAGCATGTTGCTAATGATGCAAAAAAGTAGACTCACGCGAAGAGATGCGATGGCTTTTGCATTTTGTAACTTTGTGCCTTCCGAACGGGAGAAGTCGACACATGCATAGACCACAAGCGATTTCACGATCGTGATTGTCAAGTTGACTGTCAAGTTCTTGTATCGGTTGGTCTTCAAGAGGGTTTCCTATCTCCTGGACTCCATCGGCCTTTCCAACTTTTGGTAGCCGCAGTGTTGAAATCGGAGCGTTATAGGCTGCCAGCAGCTCTTCAATAACCAGCTTTTCCTCCTCCCACTGCGCTCTCGTGTCCACCAAGCACTTGTTTCCTTGCACCGATCTGAGCCATCCGGAGCTTCCTGACTTTTTGCCATCGACCACACCTTAGAGTCAGAAGCGGTTCAAGGACGTCGGGGGCCGTCATGGTCGTGTTTCAACAGCGCTATGCCACTCTGCTTTGTGTCTCTCCCTCATGGTCCACACGGCTCAAGGCTTGCACGAACCATCAACCAGAGCTTTCGCTCCGACTTCTCAGGATCGTCCGCCAGTTTATTGATTTGTGCAAGTCGCACAAGTGAACCGCCTTAGTTCACATGTCACATGCATATCCACATGCATTCTCAGCTCCGTTTGCTTGATATGCAGCTACGCTAAAGAAAGGCAAGGCACTTGGAACTGTCTCCAGGAGCGACTGCTTTTGGTTTGGTCGTTGCAGCACCGGCTGCTCTAGCAAAGGCTGCTCATGCAAAGTGCGATAAGACCCGCCAACCTGCGCAAAGCACACTGGTTCAGAGACATTCCCACAACTACTTTTGGGGACGAAACGATCCTGCATCCTGCTCGACCGGTCGAGAAGAGTTGGCAATGCGGAACTGGTATCAATCAAAGCCAGTCAGCTCTCATGATATGCATGTGCAAAACGGAGGGCCTTCCATGGAACACAGCCGGAAGCTATGCCTTCGAGATGGCCATGCGACCCACACAGTTTGGGGGGGAACTACGAGCCTAAATGCGCACCTTTCAAAGTCTGCTGCGCGGCATCACTCCCAATCTTTGCCACATCTGGACCCAGCAAGTTGGTGGAATCAACTTTTGGACCTTGCGCATCCTCAAAGACCATCCAGCCAATGCAGTTGCCTCACAAAACACTCTGCAACGAATTTCGTTGAAATATGGTTCATGCCTGAAATATAACCGTGCATCGTGCTGATGTCGACTTTATGTCTGTTGTGGCGGGAGGCAGGTTTCCTTCAGAAATGTGGAAGAAACGCTGAGATCTGCACCTTGAGTTTTGACTCTCGCATATACTTGACATCTGCCGTCTTGAGCATGATGACTCAACTCAAAGAGAAGCAACTCCTCTCCTGTTAGCACCTGTCGCGACAATTTCACAAAGCCCAGCTGTCCAAACTCGAGAAGTGCATGCCGCGAGCCTCTCCGATCTCCTGGCGATTCATCCCCAAGTGCTAGAAGCAACATCAACTACTGTACACAGCGAAGCCTCGCTCTTCGGCGAAGGTCTGTCGTGAAGAGGAGAAGATGCTCTCAGGCGGTATCTTCCCGGGATCTCTCTGGAGCTGGGCAGCTGCGTTAGGGCCGTCCGCTCGATTGCTGAAGCCTCAGCGCTCACACCTATTCAATTGTGTCTTTGGAAGGTCCAAAGTAGGTCAAAACCGAACCATTAAATAGAGATTTAATCTTATTTAACTTCTGGACTCATTGGTTTGCTCCAAAGGAAATGAGCCTCGTGAAGTTTCTATCCCTACTAGGGGGCAGCCGATGAAAACCCAACTGCGCCAAGTCGACGGCTATCACCGCTTGGATCAATATATTCCGTGCAGGACGTGTGTCGAGCATGCTGAGGCTCACGCATCCAGCTGCAAATACCCCACTCCGATTGCGACATCAACTTGATCAGGCAAGACCTGGTAAAAACCTTCAGCACATCTTTGTGCACATGCATGTTGCCGCAGGAAAAGCAAAGTGCAAAGGACTCAAAAGATGCAAGAACACCGGCCTCCTCCGGCATCGCTCATGACACGAAAAGTCACCTAGTCTGGTTGTAGAACTTTCAAGAAGACTAGATGCACGTTTCAGGTTTCGTCGACATGACATAACCTTCTCAGCTTGCACGCTCCCTCACCCCGTCTGTAAACGTTCGCATTGGGACGACGAGGACTCCGGGCTTGCAGAGCTAGTCCCACCAAAGCATGCCCAAAGATCACGATTCAAAACATGTGTTGGTTCTGCCACCTCGATGCATTGACATGCTTGTCCGGGGCACATTCAGACTCTTGCGGACAGGCAGGAATGAGAACGTGCATGATTCTGTACAACCCTTCCTCCAGTCATCCTGCCATTCTTAGATTGTGGGCTAAATTAGCCAAGGCTCATCTGATGTGAGTGTCATCAGTGTTTCCGAGCCGCGGCTCGGAGACTTCAAGATCGCCGCAGTTTTGCCTTTGCCAACCGAGTAGCTGCCACCGGAGAAAGGGATCGGAGACCTGCAAGGGTCAGGCCAGGACATTCGACAGGGGCTTTGACCTTAGGAATCTGTCACCCACACCCATGGGTTTGCTGTCATTTGTTCCCCACTCACATCTTCATCACAAGAGCTTGACTACTGGGGAGGGCTTTTCACACTCGTCGTTCAGAGAGCTTCTACGTTCTACTCTCGCGAGTTGAGGATTGACTACTTTAGGACAGCACCGCGAGCTGCCTTTCATTTGGATGTGTGCGTGATTGTGCATGCAAGAACCGCTTTCCCCACAAAGAAGCGCAGGCAGACATGCGAGTGAATGGCACTGGTGCCAGCTGGGCTAGTGCTGTTTCTGGCGTGCATGCTGCTTAACTTTGATGTTCGGATTAACGGAGAACGTTCACAGACTTAGTGCTACACGGAAGCGGCTTGCCACCTTTCCCAGCCCTCGTTTGAAGCCATCTCGCCATGTCAGTGTCCAAGCATCTCTGGCATACAAGACTTTTTGACACACAGTCCGTACGCAGGGCAAACGAGCAGCCTCTGCGTTGTGAGGGTGGCAGGCTTCTTGGAAGCGCGGCAGCCCATGTCGCTGCTCAAGCGCCATCGGCGATAAGGCAGTCGTGTGCACCAAAGCCCTTGACGATTCAGTTGTGGCTTTGTTCTTCTGGCATCCTCACTCAATCCGCTCAGCTGTTGTTGTCGACATCTGTGTTCCTGAGTGTACCTGATGTGCTACCTCGTGGAATGTTCATGGCAAGCTTTCCAAGGCAGTCCGACAGGTCCAGGCAAGACTACCACAACTGGTGGCTTCCTGACATGCCCTGCAATCAGCCCACCTCTATGTGTGACTCGCCCAGTCGTGGCACTTTTGGATGCTAGCAGGAATCCTGCCCCACTGAGTCGGCAAGCGGTGTCCTGATGTGGCCTGTCGAACTCCAGCATTGCCGTGCTCGTTGAAGCACAGTCTCGTCAGTAGATGAAACTCCTCGCTCGACGTGAAATCAACTGATCCAAGCATTTCTGTGCCAGCGTGAACGTCACCGTCGTCTGCAGAGTGAGCTCACGTTTGTGCAGGCCAGAAGAGGTCCATGAAGCTGTTGTGCATGCTCCGCCAGCTCTGAATAGTGCCCTGTGGCCCAGCCTACCATGGCCAGGCCATGACCGGTACGGGTTCGAGAAGCGGCGACAGTCCCCGACGTAGACGTGTAGACGGCTTTGATCACTGACCTCTTCCAGCACCTTGTGTTTCGGTAGGAGCTCCTCGGACTTCTGCCTGTGTCACCTGTCTCAAGGTGCATCGGTGCACGGAATGTCACGTGCGAAAAGTCGAGGCCTCGAAGGCACGCACCTGCAGGGCCGCAAGCCTCGGCTCCATGTCTGCGCTCTGCGCAGAGGACCAAAGATCTGAGGCACCGCACCGCAAGGGCAGGGCATGGTCAAGCGGAACGACCTTACGAAAAGAACAGCGAACTGCGCCCGAAGAAGGCAAAAAACGAAAGCTAACAGCCTCCCAGGAAGGGTCGCTCTCAGCCGGGCCCGGGCCGCCCACCTGTCTCGAAGGGGCGACTCTTCTCATCACGAACGAATCGGAGCGTCACGAAAGTGTGTCTGAGTCTGAAACTGTTTTGATTTGCCACCGCCCGCCGACGGCACCTGGAAGGGTAGACCAAAAACCTCTGACCACTTTAGTCTGGGTCTCGCACCTCCAGGCCACGCCTGGAAACAGTGAGAGTCATGCTTCGCACTCTGCCAGGCACATTGCGAATTTTGAGATCTAAGAACGGCACCTGCGGCAAAGCCAAGGCTGCTCGCAAAGTGAAGGTGATGTTTTGCGCTTCAGCGCTGGGATTTCGCCAGAGCAGGAGCCCGCTGCAAGGCGGGCAGTCGAAGGCTCCATAACCATAGGCCTGCTTGTGGCTGGACAAAGAGACGATCGAGGGGGAGCACCAGTTTTCTACCAGCAGATTTCGGACGAACGGCTCACAGGCGGGTTTCAAAAGCAAGCTCTGAAGGACGTGGATGATGCAGTTCTTGGACTTGTAAGCTTCAAGGTTATGACGCAGCGTGGCAAGTTGGGAGATCTATAGCATCGTAGCAAGTTGTTCTTTCATGCTGTGCTCTCTTTTACAAGCTGCTGAGGAGGCTTCAACATCAGAGCACCATCGATGCTTGCTTCATCGAGCTTCCCCCTCCCTGTACTGCCTGATTCGCCCCAGACAAAGGCAACCTGCACAACCCCGGCAGCAGGGACTGGATATCTCGCACAGAGTCATCTCCCTTCTCCTCTTATACCAAGCATCTCATATGCGGTTGACAATGAAGCAATATCTGTTAAGGTTTAGTGTCCTGGGCTTTGCTGACCCCGACAGTTCGCGCCCGGTGTGGACAGCCCAGACGGCCCCGGACAATGCAGGCGAAGGCTTCAAGGTTCTCGTATCTTCGTTTAATGTTTCGGCTTTGACCAGCTGGCCCCGTGCTTTTGGTGACAGCCACCACTCGCTTGACGGGTCAAGGAGCGTTCCTGTCAGAGCTTGTTAATGTTCGCCATCCAGTGCTGCTTTTAGGGTATAAGCAGCAGGGTTCAATGTGCAAGGTCTAGTTTCGTCATATTTCGTTTACGACTCTTTTCAATCTGCATGTTACAACGTCTAGAATACCTTTGCAGGCAGAATCAGTAGCAGGAAGAGGAGTCCGGATAGTCGAGGCATTGCTCAGCGGGCACACAGGTGACAGAACCGGAAAAAGTGCATGGCATACATGGGTTCTACTTTCAATCTCTGTTGCAGGCTTTGATCGCTTCCACCTCTCACATCAGATTTCAGCAGATTTCGTCCCTAAATGTCAACAGCCAGACTAAAAACCACAGCGATCTGCGAAGCAGGTGCCGTGCTGGGCATGTCGTTCCGTTGTAGATAGCTTCCCTGAAAAACTTATTTAGGTCATTGTCGGCATTGCGCTGTTGCTTGCTTGTGTAGTTGTCAAATATGAGCCACACGCAGAGTCTGGGGGCTTAGTCATCAGGAACCAGAGAGATTGCCTCGACAAAAACACAATCAGTTAGTAGTAATGGCCAAACTCTCACGACGTAAGGAGCAACGTCGCAGGGTATGCCCAATCTCTGACGCGTCGCAACCGGCGAGCAATTGAACATCGGGGCAAATGCTGAAACACGTGGCCATAGCGTGGTCTGTGAACAGCATCTTGCAGACCCCTCCACCAAGCTCAGCAGAATCCTGGCCTCCCCCCGGGCTGGGTCACCACCAAGCCAATGGGAATCATGCAAAACTGCCGCATGCTTGTGCGACAAGTTGAAATGCAAGGCAAGTGTATCCCAGGACTCCGGAGCCAGTAAGGATGGCTGAATCTGGAGCTCCTGGTACATGGTGAATATCATGCCCTGCACTTCTTGAGAAAAATCCTCCAAGTCGAAGGAGTTCAAGTATGCCCCGGGCTCCTCCGCTCGGCTCCAGACTAAGCCGCCCAATGATAAACTTGAGAGCGGGAACAACCGCGCACGCCTCAAGACTTCGAACACCATCGAATCTCGGAAAGTCATCCACTGCTGCCGCAAGGAGCCGGTTCCTTTGCGACCTAGATCAGGGCCACCTCTCCACACAGAATCGACAGAACAAAGCCACCAAGGTGAGGGCCAGGATCCTGTCACTGCCGATACACGGACCTGCTTCTGTGCTCTCAACTCCTGTATCAAGAACAACAGATTGTCAATATCTTTGGAGTATTCGGCTGAACCGCTGGCTTTCACTCCGCTACCAATTCCATCGAACTTGAAGAAAGAAAGTCCGCTGTGCAGAAGTTGAAGTGTTGCATTGTAGAACCAGTCGAAGTAGCGGTGGCCAGAAAACCGAAGTAGGTTGGGGGAATCACCTTGATATTCGAAGCCCATGGAGGCACCAATCTTTACACGGCGCTTTCCAGCTTCCCCGAAGCCACCCCAAGGAGACATCCAAACACCAAGGGACATCCTTTTGTCGCTTGCAGTTTTAGCCAATGAGCTGAACCCTTCCGGAAAGTTGTCGCGATTCACGTTCCAAGGAACGCCTGCATCATCCCAGCCGTCATCCAAAACTGCACCCGCCAATGTGACGCCCCTCTGTGACAGCTGTTGGGCAATCTCTTCCATGCGCTGAAGCACATGCTGCTCGTTAAGGACTTTGGCCGCTGAGCAGTGGGGAAGCCCCAAAGGACTGGAGTCCACGCACGGATGCCTCCGCAGATCGTACCATGTAGTGAAATGCAGAAAAGGTTTGGGAGGAGAAGCTCGGACTTGCTGCAGGTAAGCCTGAAAGTGTCTCCTCAGTAAGAAGACCGACTCTTCCGCCGTTGCACCGATCGGACCGGTGATGCCAGCAGACGCAAAGTAAGGCGTCCCCGGGGATGCATCACGTAGCTCTGCCACCACCCGGGTGCCGTTGCTTCTCAGCCCATGGACGGCCTCGGATCGAGCGCCACCACAAAAGCTTGGAGAGAACAAGGATTAAGGCAACAGGAACGACTTCGACTCCACGGGTGACAAGCCTTTGGAAAATTCAGCAAGATAATACATCATCATTTGACCATTTGACAGGTCCGGAAGCACGCTCGTGGTATGTTCAAGAGATCCGAAACACAATTGCAGGAAATCGCTACCTAGCAGTAAAATATCAATATAAGCATATGCGAAACTGTAGCACCGGATCAGGCTCTTCCTCTTCCGCATCCACTTCTGGGAGCTACAAGTCGCCCCCGCAGATAAATCAGTCCATGATTTCCAAGGCTCGGTAAGGGGTGAGGGGGGGTGAGTCCCCCCTATAAATCAAGAGCACGGATTACTGGTGCGTGTCTAGTCAGATTTCTCTGGAATCAGCTACAGGGCACATTCGAGCACACGCGTTGGCCTCATTCAACGACTTGCAGCACTCAGTGCTTCCAGGTCGCGCGTGGGTGCTCGAGTGCAACCCAAATCCCACGCCCGATGTGTATCAGAGGGCTGCCATCCACCTCACCACTGGCACCGAAGCAATCGTTGTGGTCGAACGATTGAGCTTGTTTGCTGCCACAAACAGCCATCAACGCACTGTCAAAGTCCCACAACGTCAAGCTCATCACGCTCAACTCTGGGTTGCTCTCATACCAAAAGCGGATGCGAAGGACTTCAGCCCCGGCCGCCATGCGCAACAAGGCGGCAGTCCAATAAACATGTATCCCAAGCGGACACTGCAACTCGATAGCCTCGCCTGCAAGAAGCAAGAAGCCATCCTCTTGTGATCGCGGCAGGCGGGTGCGCCGTAGAAGTGAGCAGTCTTTGGCGAGAACCTTGTCTCCATTCGTTAGAAGCAGCTCGAAGACGCTTTGCCAGCCCAGGTTTGAGCCGCGCTCTTCAAAGATCCTCGGCACAAGACCAGTTGCCTGAGCGGGGGTGCGCTGGTCGCCAACCAGACTTTGGTACGTCCAGCCCCAAGACACGTGCAAGTAATCACCTCCCGTGTCAAAGGTGTCCGCATAGTTGTATGGCTCGATCGTCTTACTCTGGCTCATTCGTGGCATTATCTCTGCCATGAGTGCTTTAGTCTGGGTAGCAGACCTGGCAATAGCCAGTTGCGCTGAAGTCTGGGAGTCCGATGCTGGAAGTTGTCCCTCCTTCTTCGATAACTCTGCATGGTTTGGCTTTGAGCCGCTGCTCGGTCCTTCGGGTGTCTCATGCGACTTTCCAGTGTTTCCAGTCCAGAGCTGCCAGACCAGCAGGACAATCGTTCCGTAGACGGATGCGATGGAGAACACTGGCTTGTAGAGTGAGCGTGATGGATGTGATGGCGATGGCTCGTCTCGAGGTTTTCGCCTGGGAGTGATGCTCTTGGCAGAGTCCTCTCCTCTGCGACCAGCCCAGCCGGTGCTTCTCTTCTCTACCATGATCTACCATGAGGGAAAAATGGAAGACTCTGCAGCCCGCTCACCTGCACTACACTCACTACACTCTGCAGCCTGGCGGCCGGCAGCACAAGCACAGGCACAATCATGCAGGTCATGCCCCCCCTGCTGGTGCGGTCCGCTGCTTATCTCTACGCCGCATTAATTGGGCAGCCTCTGAGGCTGCTGCCTCACCGTTCGAGTCTCTTAGAGCTTGGCTAGATGCTGGCATATGCAGCGACAGCTGAAAGGCTCGTGGCTTTGCCACGAGAAGACATTGATGGGGCGGGACAGCCCGACGAGTCGGATCCTCTCTCGCCCATTAGCAACTGATGCTTGGAAAACAGCGGCCAGGTCAGCCAAGACTTGGTGTCCTGAGTGCAAAAACATTTCGGGTCCTGTGGCATGATTTCTGCTGACTTCGTGTGGGCCTAGTAGCGCCATGAGAAACAAGACTCGCTATCAAATGCAGCAGATGCCTCAAAATCGTCACTCTGCAATCTGCGCCCAGCATGCTCATGGTTTCGAGGTCTGCAGACTTGAGAAACGAAACTTTGACACCAAATTTACGGAAGTCTTGTCGCCCATCTTTCTTCTCCAGCCGAGACCGACGCAGAACGTGCCCCTGCAGCCGCGTGGGCCGTGCTGACCGACCCACCATGGGTTACCAGAAGCCGCAAAGCCAAGCTCTTGAACAAAGACTCAGCTTGTGAAAATTCTGCCGATCGCGTTTGAAAAAACTCACTGCCGGTGACCGTTGTTTGATTGAGCCTGCGTCCTTCCTTGCTTGTTGGCCACGGCTCACCGCACCGCTGCATGAGTCGGGGGTTACAGCTTCGCCGGCTCACACACTTATCAACTGAAGTCACCCATGAAGATACTCATGAAGGTAAGTTTGACGCCCGACATGGCGTTAGGATATGCGCAGGAAACACGTCTGTTCTCTTGAAGGAATTACGTAGCTTGCAGTTGAAAAGGTGCCGTCAAGACCGTCAAGCATGTTGATAATCGCAGCTAGGTCTCACATACGGGAAAGAGTGGCCAGCAGCATCTGCTTCCTTCGCTGATGACCCTTCCAAGCCTGCATGTGTCAACGATACCGTTACCATCACACGCAGCGCAATCAAAGCACAGTCGCCCGTGTTTGCGGCTGCTTGGCATGGTTGCAGTATGCTGTTGGAGGGAATTGGGGGAAGCACCTTCAACCGCCTGCGACTGCGAGGTCACAGGCGACTCGTTCAAAATCTCTTTCGAGACTTCGCCTGTCAGGGCTTCTGCGGGCTTGACAGAATCGATCTTCTGCTATCTTCGTCATCCCCATGTATAGCCCCCTGTAACGTGCTTCAAATTGAATCTGTGCTGCGGTCCAACCCTTTCCAACTAAACCATCATGCTAGACATGCAATCTGACGACACATCTTTCAAGATCTTTCAGGCCAGAACAGCTGCACGAGCAAGCGCTGTCCAACGCAGCACACCAGGGCATGACGTTCACGAATACCGAATACTCTATGTTGGCACTGGTGCCAACCACTGGTCTTTGCTGGAATTGGCATTTGCATGTCTACGGAGCTCCAATCGGAACATCTGGACAGACGTCGCTGGACCAACGGCAGCAACATCTATAGAAGAGAAGATGTAGCAACAGCAGGTGCAGCAGCAGTAGAAGTAGTAGTACAGCGTGCCGGCAAGTTAAACCACTAAGGGGTGCAAGATGACCAGCCATCTTGGTCATCTTGCCCCGCTTCAAAGGGGGGTGCAACTAGTCGGGCAAGTTAAGTAGGGCAAGATGACCAAGACTGCAAGATGACGTGGTCATCTTGCCCCATCGATGCCGGGCAAGACGACCAAGCTGACACGATTGCAAGATAACCAAAATGACCGGCAACATTAGTGGTTCTACATAATTGCCGACACGATGTAGTAGTGCGACGGATGGAAGAACGCATGCATGACTTAGTGCATAAGAGAGCCTGCGTCAGTAAGGACCTGTGCTATGCTTCCCCACACCCCGATTTCAACGTTAAGAAAGGTATGACATTATACAAGTTTTTTCTCATTCACGCCCACACTGCTTCCACTCGTTTGCTGTTCCATGTTAAGATCACGGGGCTGTGGGGGAGGAGAACCTCCACAGAAATCGATGCAGGATGTTTCGAATCACTAGTAGTAGTAGTAGTAGTAGTAGTAGTAGTAGCAGTAGTAGTAGTAGTAGTAGTAGTAGTAGTAAAGCGCCACGAGTGGTTCAAACATGAGCATGGGTTCATGGCGTTGGAGGGCCGTGTGCATCTGCGAGCTTGGCTTCTGGAGGAAGCTGACAACCTGCTGCAAGAGCAGCCCGAGGAGCTAAGAAACCGGGCGATAGATCTGCTAACAGCGTTGTGGCAGGACGTATCTGTGAGAGAATTGATCTGCGAAGCATCTTTCATTTTGCCGGAGCTTTCATTTCACAGATTTCTCAACTTCGCTATCAGCAACTACCCGGAGGCGTCTCGGTTGTTTCTAGAGCAGCGTTCGGAAGATAATGCAGGCACTGAATCCCTCTGGCCTCAGCACGAGGCCAAGGCCAATCCACAATGAAGTGCAGGAACCCATACACCCTTGCTACTCAGTCTGGTCCCAAGTCCAGATGCAGCATCCAACGGTACATCGAGCACTGCTAGGAGGCGCTGCAGGCGTGAGGGTCGGATCGGCTTCCCCAGGCCATCCTGAAGCTTCGGCAAAGACTGGGGATTTTATTCCGGTGCCGCAGATGCACCACCTTAGCAAAATCAAGAAGAGATCCTTTCAGAGAGCAATAGCAAGGGCGAACAAGAATGG